ACTCCTTAACGGTTAACAGTAGGTATTTTGTGTTTGGGTTTGATTAATTTGTATTGATAAGAACTTTACACCTGAGTGCGGTGTAATTGTCAATAAGGGTCTGATGATGAAGTAGTACGATAGTTGAGGGAACTCCTTAACGGTTAACAGTAGCTATTTTGTGTTTAGGTTTGATTAATTTGTATTGATGAGGACTTTACACCTAGATGGGGGGGGGGGGGTGATGGTCATTAAAGGTCCAATGACGAAGTAGTAGGATAGCTAAGGGACTCCTCAATGGTTAAGAGTACCCACCCAGTGTTTGAACTTGCATAATTTGTATTGATGAAAACTTTGCATCCATGTGGGTTTTGTATAATATAATATATCAAAGTACTAAACTAAAAAGTATAAAATAAAATTAAAAAACTGCGTTTAAAAAAACCGACTTCAAAACAAATGACAAACAAAAAGTAAAAACTAAAAAGGAAAAAAAAACTAGAGGTATTAGTGGTCATACGTACTTATAGCTTACACACCCACTGATAGGTTAGAAGTCGGTGCCACAAACCCACAATAAAATATAAAGTAGACAAAAGTCACAGCTGGTATAATCCATAGTAAAATTGTAAACAGCTCAATAATGTTAGATATCTATTAAGGTTTTAATGAATAATTTTGTTTAAAACTTGTGGCACCGACTTCTAACCTATCAGTGGGTGTGTAAGCTATAAGTACGTATGACCACTAATACCTCTAGTTTTTTTTTCCTTTTTAGTTTTTACTTTTTGTTTGTCATTTGTTTTGAAGTCGGTTTTTTTAAACGCAGTTTTTTAATTTTATTTATAGTTCTTATCAATTTTATTTACGTCTACATCACAGAAGTAGGTATTTAAAAAAAATGTGGAACAAGCGTGGGAGACCCATGCTTTGGCACGAATAAGCCAGCTTGATACAAGTGATACCACGGCCGAACAGAAAACCGACGTGAAACAACGCTTGTGTGAGTGAGTGTGTGTGTCAATCCCCGAATCCTCCACAATTTTCAAATTCCCACTACCCAAAAGGCCGGTAACGCACTTGTAACGCCTTGGTGTTTCAAGTGTCCATGGGCTGTGTAGATTGCTTACTATCAGGTGATGGTGATGTACCGGCTTATGCGATAAAAAAAGTAGAGAACATTTATAATGTTTCTTTTATAGTTCTTATCAATTTTATTTACGTCTACATCACAGAAGTAGGTATTTTAAAAAAATGTGGAACAAGCGTGGGAGACCCATGCTTTGGCACGAATGGGCCGGCTTGATACAAGTGATACCACGGCCGAACAGAAAACCGACGTGAAACAACGCTTGTGTGAGTGAGTGTGTGTGTCAATCCCCGAATCCTCCACAATTTTCAAATTCCCACTACCCAAAAGGCCGGTAACGCACTTGTAACGCCTTGGTGTTTCAAGTGTCCATGGGCTGTGTAGATTGCTTACTATCAGGTGATGGTGATGTACCGGCTTATGCGATAAAAAAAAGTAGCTAACACCGAGACGAGATTATCGATTCTTTTCTGTCAATTATATTCGAATAAGCTTACAATTATAAATTTCAAAATTCATAATATTTAAGATTTTGATTAAAATAAAGATATCTAACAGAACAACTCATATTAAGAAATAATCGCTAGCACCTGTGTATCCGCAATTACTTTCAAGAGTCGCAAATCCTACACTTTGTTTCGTGAAACAAAGTGTACGCCCAAAGAGATCCAAACTTTACCACGTTGAGCCTTCTGATGGATAGATTCATTGGAGTAGGCCAATCAGAGCGTCGAACGCAGTAACGTGATTAAGTGTATAACAAACTCGTACTAGGCCCTCAGTCAGTATCTTTGTCATTCGTGGACGAAAAAAATCAAGATGGCGGCGAACGTGACGCCATTGGTTAAAGTGACATTGGCGCAGAACGTCGTGAACCCCTATACTTATTATACTCTTTGGTCGTAAACAAGTGCGAGTGTGGATACATGCGGCAGGACTAAGGAACTATTTCACAATATCTATAGCTACTACATTACGTAGTTTTTATACCTACTATACTATCTGTCACATAAGTTTATTGGGTGTACCTAATGAAGGTGGTGAAACAGGTGCTAAATACACTTCAAACTAACGATAAATTTCCCTCGGGACGTACTTCTATTAAAGTATTAAAAACATGTTTATAAAATGTAGGTACGTTTAGGGTGAATGAACTCTCTCTCACTCGTACCTTTAAAGTCACAGGATCAACGTAAAATTCACATTTATCATTCTAAATTCTAAGAAACGAAATAATCGGAGTTGGCTATCATTTGATTCAAATGGTAATGTATGTAAAGGTAACTTTGATATAGACCTATGACTGTATTTCACTAAATATTTTGTTTGAACCTGAATATTACATTGGTTTTTAGTTATTTTATCTATGAATTTATTTTAATAGCTTTGCCTATGCGATTTTACCGCAATTCGACTTACTCGGTTACTGAACGCGCCGCTAGCTATTAGAAAAGTAAGGAATTAAAAATGTTTTATATATTATACGGCGAACGCTTAAAATCCACAAGCCCGTTTTTGGATCGAATAATATAAGGCGTGATGTAAATTATTACGTAGTACTTATTATTAAACACAAGACAATTGCCGTGGTGACCCGGAGGTTAAGACGCCCGCTTCACATGCATGAAGGCGCGATCCGAAATCTACCAACAGCAAGTACCAATGTTACGTTTTCCGAGTTATACACGGTTTAAACGGAACGCTCCCGAAAAACGCCAACAGATTATGGTCAAAAACCAGTTTTATTTTCATGAAAGTAAGGAATTAAATTTTATCTTTATGTAATAATTGTTGTAATTAACCGCTCAAGGCTGACGTTGTATGAATAATATTTAAACAATAACGATTAGAATTTTAAAAACTATTATTTTGTCAGCGTTTTTAAGGAGCGTTTCGTTAACAGGGTGTAAGTAAAAGTACATCTTTTTAAGATCATTTAGACACCACTGACAAAAGATAAAGGAAAACATCGTGAGGAAACCTGGACTTAAAACTTCTAATTATAATTTTGAAATCCTCAACCCGCAATGAGCAAGCGTGGTGATTAATGCTCAAACCTTTTCCGTGTGAGAAGAGGCTTTGCTCAGCAGTGGGCACTTGTAGGCTGTTCATGATAATGATATTGTGAAACAAAACGCTCTATTTAGCCAACCAACTGCGCTGATTGGCCTGTTCCAATCAACCAACCAATCAGAACCCTTAACGCGGTGTCGTTTCGACCTCGTTAAATGTTAAATAAACTGGTGCTAAGCCCTCAGTTTGTAAAAATCCAAGCACAGTACAATGTTTCTCGAATTATCAACGTGGTACGAGGTTGCGTTAAAAACATATTACAATTGTCCCGGATTAAAAATACACTGAAAGTTTGTAGCAGCATTCTTGCGTGTTTAAAAATACAAACGTAAAAACAAAAACTCGGTTTTTGTTCAATTTTGTACCTAATGTGGGGTTTTACACGTTATTTTATGACGGGTTTTTTTTAACTGCCTCATTGGGTGAGTGATCGCATGTGCGACTGCCGGGCAAGGGGTCTCGGTTTCGATTCCTGGGTCGAGCCAAGTATTACTGGGTTTGTAGAAACATCAGTAGTAGCACGGAGTCTGGATATGTGGCCAGTATATGGCAATAGGCTCACCCCCTATTATATGGGACTCATACATAAATAGTAAAAAATGGGTGTTACATTATACAGTGGCATTAACTCCTGTAATGTGCCTGCCCTCCCTCTCCTGCCTATCCCTTTGAGAACCTAACGGGTAACCGGGGCTCCGGCTCGACGTGCAGGAGAAGGAACGGGGTGGTTTTTAGTCAGTAAGAGTCTGACACTCCCTTCCGCCTCACCCAGGCGGGAGCAGTCATTCGATGATTTTCCCCCCTTAAAAAAAAAAATCCCTTTGGGGATAAAAGTTATGTTATGATATGTCTATTTTTTATTTGAATGGAAAATAATGACTACAAAAATATTGTTTTACTAGCTTCAGTCAGGATTTTCAGCGTCCATGTCTTCAGCCGTTTTGGTGTGAAAGAGTATCAAACACAAACATACAGACTGTCACATTTTTAATATTAATAAGATTTTACTGTACAAAAACATTATCCGAGTAACATCCAGATCCTATACTCGTTAGTAGTGTAAAGCCTACGTTAATATCTTTATGTTAGGGTCCATTGTCCTCGCACGCTTTCGTTAATTGACGATTGCAAGACGAATGCTTGCATGTTGCGTTAAAACAATGAAATCAGTGGCCATAAAGCGGCAACTTCGCTCCAGTCATACAAGTTCGTCTATCGTCCTTGAACCTCACGGGTTACCGGGGCTCCGGCTCGACGTGCAGGAGAAGGAACGGGGTGGTTTTTAGGCAGTAAGAGTGTGATTTGCCCCCCTTAAAAAAATCGTCTTTTGTAGGTCGCATGCATTCGTCAAATGCCGCGTCGTGGACAATGGGTCTAACAGAAGTTACTACTGACATTAAAGACTAGAACTACATCAGTTGCTACGCAATAACTTCGAAGATTTCATTAAAAAACTGCCTCGTTGGCTGAGTGGTCGCAAGCGCGACTGCCGGGCAAGGGGTCTCGGGTTCGATTCTCGGGTCGGGCAAAGTATTACTGGGTTTTTAAAAAATTCTCATTAGTAGCACGAAGTCTGAAATTGTGCCCGGTATATGGCAATAGGCTCACCTTCTATTACATGGGACTCATAACATAAATAGTGAAAAGTGGGTGTTACATTGTACAGTGGTATAATGTGCACCTCTGCCTACCCCTTCGGGGATAAAAGGCGTGATGTTATGTTTTTCAATAAAAAACTCATCACTGACAATTATAACTTTACTTATGGTGTCTGAGTTTTAATTAACGATTCATTCACGGTTCTTATCTATACCGTCAGGCGAATGCCTTTAAACGTTCCTTAAGTCACGCTGCAAAAATGTATAGAATTTACAAGATTTGTTTGCGTAAGTATTAACACTCATTTTATTTATCCACTTTTTTTTTTAAGGGTGGAAAATCATCGAATGACTGCTCCCGCCTGGGTGATGCGGAAGGGAGTGTCAGACTCTTACTGACTAAAAACCACCCCGTTATTTCTCCTGCACGTCGAGCCGGAGCCCCGGTTACCCGTTAGGTTCTCCGCGACTCCGAATTAGCATCGGCCCTATTGGGCCCCATCTGTGGTGGTCTGATGGCTCTTTGAGGCGCGCGCGGATTATTTATGCACTACCTTCTGCCAGCGGCTTCGCCGGCGTTCCCAGAGTTAAAAAAAAAAGTAGCCTATGTATGTTACTTTAGACCATACTCTACCTCTTTTCAAAGTTTTATCCCAATCCCTTCAGCCGGTTTAATGTGACTGAATAACAAACATACACAAATTCATATTTTCACATTTGTAATATACAATCACAGCGTAAAGTCCACTGCGGACAACATGACATTCGACAAACATATAGATAATTGCGTTTGATAAAGTAACCTGGTCTAGGGATTGAGCTGCACAATTAGGTTTGTTTTTTCGTGTATACACATACTTTTTCGGGATTTTCAGTGCTGTGCTCAGGATATTAACGTATAATACGAAGTTCCATCGTAATGGGACCGGTAGTTTTTTCGTGATGCGTGAACAAACAGACAAACAGACAGACAGACAAATAATTTTTAAACCCATTTTTGGTTCGGTGTCAATCAATGAACACCCTCGACTATTTTTTTTTTTTCGCCTACCTTTGAGTACTACCATACCCAAGTTGTTACTTTAGTAATGTATAAATGTTTGTTACAGAATCAGTAATAGTAATAATAACATGCAGTGCATTGTCACAACTCATACCTGGACACACAGAACCTTTCATGGATCGACCCTGGTCTCCTACACAGAGCAAGACATTGCGCCAAGGGAAAGGGTAAAACTTGTTTTAGATCTATGCTAGAAATGTGTACTTAAGTAGCGATGATTGGATGGCTTGGTTCTTATCATCATCATCTTCATCATCACCTTCATCTTCATTTATTAATTTATTTATTATACTTTATTACTGCACACACAGAAAGAAAATCATCATCAATAGCCTTTTTAGAGAGAAAAATTTATTCAGTGATTTTCCCCGCCTTGGATGAGGCGAAAAGGAGTGTCACAATCTCAATAACTAACAACCACCCGATTCTTAGTCTTGTTTTCACCCGAAGACAATCTAACGGGTTACCGGGGGTAACCGATTCTCCGCAGCCTAGCCTATATCAGTGTAATGTTAGACTGTGGCACTGTGGTTAGGTTAGATACTTCCTATTGGTGTACGTTCATAATTCTATTGGTATCTCATTCAGTCTACTGCCGAGCAAAATTCTCTTACGGAGGAGGAGATATTTTAATCATCACGCTTGTTTAAGGTAGATTCAGTTCGTATTATGAATCATCAAAATGTTGTCTTTTTATGACATGACAAATATCATATATTCTGATTCAGATATGAAACATACAATGTTAACTTTTTAGCCCCCCAGAACTTTTAATTAGGAATGATAATTCCTGGTTCGATCCTCATGTAATGTTTTACTTCACTCTAGCTTCTAATCGCGAATTAGTGATAAAAGTAAAGGAAAAATAAAAGGAAAAGTATCCCATATCCGTCCCCTGGTTCTAAGCTACCTCTCTTTTTTGAGTTTGATGATTTTCCCCCCTTAAAAAAAAACTACCTCTCTACAAATTTTCAGCTATCGATTTCTAATTTAAAACAATGGAAGATACGTCAATGTTGAACTATTAATACTACTAACATTTTTGTATAGGTGCTGTTCTTGTAGTCATTTCATGTTCAGTATTAATAGTAAACTGACAATTATTAATAAGTAAACTTTTTACTTGTACCTTTATTGGGCACACGTTCCGTGTTTTATTATTAATTCCGTGGTAGTTTTTTCCTTTTAGAGACCGTAAAATGTGTTCGCAGCTGGAATATAGCCAACTAGCCGGGTTTATACCTAAGTGCTATGTTTTTTTTTTTGTGTAAGGTTGTATTCATGAGTATTTTGAGAAATTACAAGGTGTTTGAAAATTTGGTGGTATCAATATGGTTTCCCAATACGTGTAGTCTGCGCTGTCCCCCCCGCAAGGTAAGGCTATATTTTACCAGAACACCATGGCCGTGAAACCAGTCGCCGCTGTCAACAACTTGTATTACAGCTATATAGAGTTACTCACCTGGTGTGTGCTTGGTTGCACAACCAGCTTATACATTTTGTTGGCAGCGCGAGTGGCGATGGGTCACGCATGGTGTTCTGGTGAAGTATAGTCCTTTTATAGACCTAGCACATACTCCAGGCGTGGTTCTGCTTTCATCATTTTCATCATAATTTTAGAGTCACAAGACGTCTACTGCAGAACATAATAGACCTCTCCCAATAACTTCCACTGTATTGACTCAACTATTATTTTATTTTATTCAAAAGGTAATGCGTTATCTAAGAATCTCTAGTCATTTCCAATGTACCTACATATCTTTGCTGTCCTATGATTCAAAGAATTAGTAACGTTATCCTATCCTATGCCGGCTCGACGTGCAGGAGAAGGAACGGGGTGGTTTTTAGTCAGTAAGAGTCTGACACTCCCTTCCGCCTCACCCGGGCGGGAGCAGTCATTCGATGATTTTCCCCCCTTAAAAAAAAAAAAAAAAAAAAAAAAAAAAAAATCCTATGAATTAGGTATATTTTTGAATGGTAATATATTGGAAATTTAGAAAGTCTGTCATAATTTTGACACTCATACACTAAATTATTATTATTACAAGATTGCATAACATCACGCCTTTTTATCCCCGAAGGGATAGGCAGAGGTGCACATTATACCACTGTACAATGTAACACCCACTTTTCACTATTTATGTTATGAGTCCCATGTAATAGGGGGTGAGCCTATTGCCATATACCGGGCACAATTCCAGACTCCGTGCTACTACTGAGAATATTTAAAAACCTAGTAATACTTTGCCCGACCCGGGAATCGAACCCGAGACCCCTTGTCCGGCAGTCGCACTTACGACCACTCGGCCAACAAGGCAGTCTTACAAGTTTGATAATATCATAATGTTCAGTTGATGTCGCGGAGAACCTACCGGGTAACCGGGGCCCCGGCTCGACGTGCAGGAGAAGGAACGGGGTGGTTTTTAGTCAGTAAGAGTCTGACACTCCCTCTCGCCTCACCCAAGCGGGAGCAGTCATTTGATGATTTTCCCCCCTTAAAAAATGTTATGTTGATGTTTTTACCAAGGTCACTCTGAATGTCATTTTATCATCTTCTTTTATTAAAAAGACTATTTTAATCTGATACCAATACAGAATCACATTAAAACTTATTATTACTTCGCATATTATCAGATTTACTTTAGTTCTCACTGAATGAACAAAAAAAATCGCATTCAAGATTACATCTAAAAGCCCTCGACATTTTTAACTCTGAATGGGATCTGAAATAGACTTAGGGCACTGTGTTCAACTTTTCTTTAAGAAAATTCTTCGGGAAAACTTTACGTTCGGGCCTCTCCTTAATTTAGGTGACCTCAATCAGGAATTTTTAAGAGGGCAGCTGTTTTTTTTTACTTAAGATTAGCTATTCAATTGAGTATAATATGTGTCTTTTTTAATATATATTCTTGATTCAATAACATTTTTTTTCTGTTTTACAATTTTATTTCTTTATCGCCATCTGTACTGGACAAACGACCTGGATGGATCTGGACCTTCCCACTTTAGAGAACAGAGAATAAGGTTTCCTAAGAAAAAGAGTAACCTCTGACGAGGCGAAGTGATCGTGCTTGGCGTGTTTTCCGCTCAATAGTTGTTCGTAGGGATTTTCTATCCCTGTTTATTCTATGTTTAACGTTTATTCACAATTTATTGTGCGATGTAGGATTTGTATCGTTGAGGTGTGGGGAGCTAGTGTAAAATAAAACAATACGTCTGTCTCGTTTCACGGTGCTCTTTAATCTGACCCACTAACTACTAACTACAATAAGGTATACCCCACTTCACCTCCGGGGTAAAAGAAAAAAAAATTAAATCTAAAGATTACATTTTTTTTTTTGAACTTACAGCTAATTGCCAAACATAAATGTTAAATGCTAAATCCTTAATCATGTAAAGATTAAATGTACTTAAATTAAGCTTATATAATAAAATTTATTTATCTTTAACAAATAATTTTGTTCTATTTTTGTGAACAACATCAATTTTTCCATTTTTCATGATTTTTACATTTGGTTCTTGTTCTTCTATTACAATATATGGGCCGTCATATAAAGGTTTTAATTTATTTCCTGTTTCATTTTTTACTAACAACATATCATTTGGATTATACTTTATTTGATTTACAGTTTTATCATAAATTTGTTTTCTTTTCTCTTTACACTTTAACAAGTTTTCTCTGGCATCTCTATTAGCTACTTGTAACCTGTATTTTAATTCTAAACTGTAGTTATCAGGATTGTACAATGGTTCTATATTAGAAAAAATTCTACTTGGTATTTCACAGGGTTTACCAAAAACTAATTCGTACGGGGCATATTTTGTACTAGAGTGAACTGTATTATTATATGTGAAGCACCAAAATGGTAGCCATTGGCTCCATGTTTCTGGATGATTATCGCACTGTAGTCGTAAAAATGAACCTAGATGTTTATGTACATTTTCAAGTGAACCTATGGTTTGGTGATGGTATGCGGTAGAGTTTAGTTTTTCTATGTTAAGTAATTTACATACCTGTTCCATTGTTTCCGAGATGAATTCTGTGCCACGATCTGTAGTGATTGTTTTGGGAATCCCAAACCTTAAAATGAAATTGTTCACAAAACTTTTAGCTATACTTACGGTTTCCTTATTTTTAAGAGGATAAGCCTCAACAAACTTGCTTAACTCGCATTGAATTGTTAATATGTACTTAATTTTTTCTAAATCTATATCTAATGGGCCTACTACATCTAAGAATACCTTTTCTAAAGCATAACTTGCTGTGGTTGTAATAACCATTGGTTCTCTAACATATCTGGAATGTTTCATTTTCTGACATTTCTCACACTTTTGGATGAAGTTCTTGACGTCATTTTCGATTCCTGGCCAGTAAAATTTACGTTTTATATTATTAATCATTCTGCGTACCCCAGCGTGTCCGCTTGTTGGTAGCAGATGATAGTCATTAATAATAAAATTCTTTTCCTCGTCATTGTCTATTCTTTTTATTCCTCTTAAAATACAAATGCGTGGTCCGGACCACTGGTCTATTCCTTTTATTCCTTTTACAATATTTTTTATGAATAACGCGTTATCATCTTTTTTTATAATACAAATCTCTTTTATTCCTAATTTTTCACATATTTTTCTCAATTTTTCCACAAAAACGTCTCGCGTGTAATGTGCTTTAAAATCGAGATTAACATATAATATATTTTTATTGGCTATAAATGCGAAACATTCTGATTCGACATCTACGCTTTTATTCTCTTTCATTTTCTTTAATTCTTCACCTTTCACTAAACTTAACTCGACTGCACCACTCGGTATTCTAAGTATTTCCACAACTTTTGGTTGATCAGGCCAATCGTCTAGGCGAATACTTGGGATACCGCTTTTCACACTATCATTCTCACTTTCCTCCCCTTTCTCAGATTCTCTTATTCTTCTAGCTTGCGCTCTTGTTGTTACTGCTATTATTTTATCATTCATATCTTTTAAATCTTGTGAAGTTACACTTATTCGTGACAAAGCATCAGCTAGTACATTTTCTTTACCTTTGACATATGTTATTTTGAAGTCATACTCTTCTAGGGCTAATCGAAATTTCAGAAGTCTACTGGACGGATCTTTCATTCCAAACAGGTATATCAAAGGTTTATGATCTGTCATTATAGTGAAAGTACGTCCGAATAGGTATGGTCTGAAATATTTTACACTCCAAACTATTGCGAGAAGCTCTTTTTGTATTGTCGGATAATTTAGTTCTGCTTTATTCAAAGGCCTGCTAGTATAAGCTACTGGTTTCATGTCACTGTTACAAAGTACTGAGCCTATCGCTGTTCCAGAAGCATCGGTTTGTAATATAAATTCGTTCGAAAAATCTGGGTATGTTAAAATGGGTGGTGAAATAAGAGTATTTTTCAAAAAATTAAATGAATTCTCACATTGCTCCGTCCATTCAAATTTAGTATTTTTCCTACATAGTTTATTTAAACAATTGGTTATTTCTGCAAAATGTTTTATGAATTTCTATAATAATTACACATAGCAACAAAACGTCTGACTTCATCAACATTAGTTGGTCTTGGGTAATTTTTTATACATTTAACTTTTTCTGGATCAGGGCGGATCCCTCCAGAAGATATTGTGTGACCTAGATACAATAATTCTGTTTTTAAAAATTGACATTTACTCGGATTTAATTTAAGATTGACTTTACGTAAACGTTCAAAAATTTCAATTAGGTTTTTATTATGTGATTCCAAATTTCTGCCAAAACAAATGCAATCATCTAAATATATAAAACAATTTATATAGTTTAGTCCTGACATAGCAATAGACATTGTCCTAGAGAAGGCACTGGGGCTCGTTTTTAAACCCATTGGTAGGCGCTTCATCTGGTATTGTCCTGTACTTGTGGTAAATGATGTAATTGGTCTAGACTCTGGTTTTAATGAACATTGGTAATAAGATTGACTAAGGTCTAAATGTGAGTAGTATATAGCACCTGATAACGAGTCTAAAATGTCGGTAATATTTGGTAATGGGAATTTGTCATCTTGAATTACCTCATTTAATTTTCTGTAATCGATCACTAAACGCCACTTTTTAATTTTCTCATTATCTGACTTTTTAGGAACTAATAATATCGGACTGGACCATTCACTTTGTGATGGTTCAATTATGTCATCGTCTAACATTTGTTTAATCTGATTTTCTATTTCCGGTTTTAAACTATGTGGTAATCTGTATGGTTTGGTATATACTGGACTTACATTTTGTTTTAAATGAATCGTTTGTTCCTCTAAGTTAGTAGTAGTAAGCTTATCGCCGGGTAAATGAAATATGTCGGTATATTTAGAACAAATACTCTCTATACTGTTTCGTTCGCTTGTACCTAAGTGATCAAGTTTCAAGGTTTGCAACAATGTTGTTGCTCGTGTGGGATTAGAGTCACATTTATTAAACGAGCATACATTGTATTGTTTTAAAGGTAATAATTCAGGTTGAAAAACTGAAATAACTATATCTTTATCGCTGGTATTCATTAGCCTGATAGGTATTATGTTATTTTTTGGTTTTACTATCAACCCAGCCAAAAATAAATTTTCTTGTAACTCCTTCTGCACAATCACACTGTCTTCTCTCACATCTGAGGTTAGCTTTATGTAATGAATAGTTTCGCATCGTGCTGGTATTGTTATATATGCAGTACACAATTTGGGTGAGGTATGTAAAGGCAATATGCTTTGTTTTTCTTTTGTTAAAGTTAATATATTTTTCTCTAAATTAATAGTAGAATTAAAATTGTTCAAAAAGTCTAAACCTATAATTCCGTCAGATTTACAAGGTAAATTGTCAAATAAATAAAATTTATGTTCATAAAATGTTTCATCGGAAGCCTGCAAAGTTAAATAAACATATCCTTCTGAGTACGTCTTACCACCTATACCGTTTATAACTATAGGGTCTCTATGTACAGGTATCCGTTCCGATAAGAAATTACTGCGAATTGCTGATATTGAGGCGCCTGTGTCTAGTAACCATGAACATTTTTGATTACCTAACTGCAAGAATATGTATTTTACATTATTGTCACAATTAAAAATATAATGTTTAGGTCCGAAAAAACTGATTCGATTCAGTAGCTTCTTGTTCTTGTGGGTTTTCGACTTGTGCTGAACAAACTGGTCGATTATTACTCCTACTACTGGAACCTCGACTACGATTCGAATTTACAAAATTACCACGATACTGCCGTGCTGGTCGGGAATTATTATATCTCCAGTTATGATTATTTAAGTACTTACCTCTCTGGTTATAGTTGTAATTATTTTGTCCTCGATTCGAATTGTAATGTCCTCTGTTCATTCGACCTACAGGCGGGCGACTTATCCGTGAAGACCTATAGTAATTAAATTGGTTACCTCGCCTTTGCGTTGCATTAAAAATGTTGTTGGAGGACGAAGGCTGTCCCAGCTCTTCATCCTCGGCCGCACGCACCGCGTCCTTCAGCTGCGAGTAGTCCCTGGCTGATATGATCGTGCTTAGCCGCCTGTTACGCAAGCCATCTGCAAACCTTTTAATTGCAAGTTTTTCATTTATAGGTCTCAAAATCTCACTTGCTTTGGGGTTTTCGTCGCTTTGTGCGATAGTGAGACCTACAAATAAATCTGTCAATTTATCACCAAACTCACTTATTGACATATTGTTTTGAGATAAATTATTTAATTGGTTAAGTATCGAATTTGCCGATTTTTTAGTTAGTAAGAAGTTCTTAATGTCTTGTATTAAATTAGGTACATTGTCATATTCGCTTTTTAATTTTAACTTAGCAGATTTTGATAACCTGGTTTTCAATACAAATGTTATTAGTAACTTTTTCTGTGTAGTATCTACTAAATATTCATTATACATCTCAATTCCATCTATAATTTTTTCAATAGTTTGTTCTGAATTATCCATTACTGGTATTAAAGAAGTAGCGGTTTTTATATCGAATTTCTCCATGTTTGTTACAGTTGTATTTTCCTCGCAATTACTAGTTTTATAAGTCAAAATCCGTTTATATGTTAACTCTATACGTTCTTTTAATATATCATGCACATATTCTGCAAGTTCTACTGAAGTTTCTTTAGTTTTAAAACTACTAATGATATCTTTATATGTTAGAAATAACTTTTCAGCTTGTAAAAATTTTTCATTTATATTACCTGCATATTGTACTCGTCTAGTAGGGCCCAATTTTCTTAGATTAATTTGAATATCATTCAACTTACTTAAAATAATTTCTAAGTTTTGTTCCATATAACTATTTCACTTAAAAATATAGTTCATTTTTCCATTGATTGAAAACCGTATTTCCATTGATTCACGCATATTTCTCATAGACGCAGAGAGCACCGTAGCACCGAGCACCCCTTCAAACTGGTTCAGCTTCTTCATCCGGTCTGCCAAATCTTCCCGAGAGTCTCTGTCGCATACGCCTTATAAATTCAAAGTGCATCTTTCTTTCCATCCATTTGCGTTCATTTTTCTTCCATTTCTGACATCCGAAGTATATAACAGCCATAATACCAATAGTCAAGGCCGCTGCTAAGAGTAAGTTGGTCGTCATCATGTGGTTCTGGACCTCGATGTCCTCGTAAATCGTTGCTTTATTGGGTCCTGCTGCATTTTGGTTCAGAGTGAGTTCTTTGTCTTCGGTTTTAGAGTATGATTTTCCCATTTTACGGAGTATAAGTACAAAAGGAATTTGAGTACGGTAAGTTCAAGTTTTGATGTCACTGAGTCTGATCACACACAATCTTGATGCAGCAAAATTTTTGGAAGTGGAAAGTTAGCATTAAGTAGAAATAAAATCACTTTGCACACTATTGTTCTTGGCGAAAATCACTTTGCGCACTTGTACTTGTTCTTGGCGAAGCGTTATTCAATTGTTCAAAATCGGTGCACCGAGGCACACAAGAATCCGCGGCGTCAGCGTTCGCCGGCCACCCGACACTCGCCCACGCCATGGCAAGGCAGGGTCGCCATGAGGTGTGGGGAGCTAGTGTAAAATAAAACAATACGTCTGTCTCGTTTCACGGTGCTCTTTAATCTGACCCACTAACTACTAACTACAATAAGGTATACCCCACTTCATCGTCATCCGCTAATTTGCTCATCGATCGTCTACGTGTGATTGCTGTCGTCTGCCATTTTGTCATATGTCATGTGTTGCCACAAACTAGCCTGTATTCAGCAGAAGACGACTGGCGGCTGATATGATGATGGTGTCGATGATCAGTATGATCACCCCCTAAGATTTAACCAAGCCATACTGAAAGATCTTTTCAAGATACATTGAAAATGGTCTTCGTAGAAAATAGTAATAAAGTTCACAATATTAATTGAATATTAATTTTAAGGGGGTTTTGCTGTGCTTGGAAGGAACCAGACTACCACGATGCTGATGGTTCAGTCGCTGGTGTAGTGGGTGAGGGTGATACAGTGGTCGGTTCAAAGGGCGGTTTAATCCTACTACGGTACTATTTTAATGATAAATGATATTTTTTTGGAAACTGCCTTGTAGATCGAGTAGTCATAAATACATCTAAGAGTTTGATGAGGGCAAAGTATTATTGGGTTTGATGTTTGTATTTGAATTATTATAAAGCACGTTTACGTTTGTATTTATTAAATTTAATCTGTCAAACACCAAGCGGTCACCGGTGACCGCGACCTATTGTTCTTTAATTGTGTCTATAAAACCGGTACTCGACGAGTTAAAAATCATTCAATATGCCCGATTGAACTAAGGTGGAACCGCGACGGTTTTTAACCGCCTAAATTTATGAAACAGGAAATGGCTGAGGCCCTACATTAACCCATTGTTGGCTAGATGCTCGTACACGCTGACTATCTAGCGAGATTGCGGGCGCGGTCGCGAACTATCAAACATATGACACGATATCCCGCTACTTGGCATCGTACCTGCATTTAGTATCTCATTACTTGGATGTCGTATCATGTTTAATATTTCACAGCCGCGGGCACGGTCACGTCTCAGTGGGGACAAGCAAAAGATTATGCATACCTAATCGTTCCTTAACAGTTCCAGAATCAACACTGCAGATGTGAACCATCGCTCGGAGCAAACGGAACCACCTCCAAGAAGGGACTGCGTCTGCTCTAAGATTTACGATCCAGTCTGTGCGTCAAATAATGAGTCCTATTTCAACCTTTGTTTTTTGGAATGCAAAGTACCGAAAAGTGAAAATATTAGCGTTGTCCACCAAGGAAACTGCATACCATTTTAAAGTTAGACGTAATTAGGAATCGGTAAATTAAATTCATTGATTGTGTTTCGTTTTATTGTTTGAACCTTTGTTGATTATTATGATAGGTATTGTGACGATTTTTTATGATATTTTCAGACGAAATTGTGAATTTATGTACCAGTTAATGTGTCCAAATTATTTCGCTGTTTCTGTGTAACCTAAGGAAACCGACAGTCCTTTTCGTCCTCCCTTGGAGAGGGAACTACATGGTGATTGGGGTTGGGTCAAAATAAATACAAAAAAAATCATACAAATATGTCAATGTTTGGTTATGACACACAAATATTCTGTACATAAACAACTGAAGCAAAAATGCCATAGAAAAATAATAACCTAGATATATGTCAACAATATACCTTCCATATAAAGTAAATCAAAGCCCATATACCATATATTAAAACTTCTACAAACTAATTTAGAGCTCAAAGCCAAATCCTGGAGTTCAATTAAGGCCTAATGTCATTTGACGATTGCATGCATTCGTCAAATGACACAACGTGGACAGTTACCCTAATAAAATGTAGAAACGAGTTAAAATAATACTTAATTAACAAACACAGAGCTCTTATCCATTAAAATGAAAACCACAGAGAATATAATTTTTAATTCACGTTAATATTAAACCTCACAAGTTCTTCATGCAATTTAACTTTAACGGAGTTAAAAACTGCATTATTCAGTTTTGTGGGCGAGACGGGACGTAAGAACACCTTTATTTTATTCCCTTCAAATGTTCGTTAGACGTTGGTGTTAGCCGTTTCATTTTACTTAATTAGATTTTATTCCTAAAAGTCGTAAAAAGTGGAGGGATTCTCACAAAGTATGTCCAAAGTCCCATACGAAAAAGACTAGACAAGACATTTTAGACATTTTTACTACTCGGATTTACTTACACTATACGAGATAGAAGAAAGAATTAACTTAATGCTGGTTTAATTTGGCTTTTATAAAGTTAGGCACTCGACTGGTTTCAAGCCAAACTAAGGGCTCATATTCGCGGGCCTGCGGACGGCAAGCATGGGAGCATGGCTCGCCGCCTGACCAGAACCAGACCCGAGCATATTATGGTGTGTTGCGTTCTGCGCGCGCCTCAAAGAGCCATTAGACCACGGAGATACCACGGATGGGGTCTAATAGGGCTGATGCCGATACGGAGCGGCGGAGAACCCAACGGGTTACCGGGGCTCCGGCTCAAAGTGCAGGAGTAGGAACGGGGTGGTTTCTAATCAGTAATAGTCTGATACTCCCTTCCGCCTCACCCAGGTTGGAGAAGTCATTCAATGATTTTCCCCCCTTAAAAATAGGCTCATATTCATGGAGAGCAATTCGAACACACTACGTCGAGCAGCTTACTCGATAAAACAAAAACAGCTACTACAAATCTGTATGCATGATTGTAAAATGTATATATTAGAGGTATTTTTAAAAAGAGTAACGATGGAGTTCTTTCTCGGTCTGTTCCATTCGAATCTACACTTATGAACGAGCACCTAGCTCCACTGACGGGACTATTATTTATCTGTTGACGTTTCAAAAGTATCTGATAATGATTTAGTACAAATAAATACTTTGACTTTGACTTTAAACTGTCAAACACCAAGCGGTCACCGGTGACCGCGACCCATTGTTCTTTAATTGTGTCTATAAAACCGGTACTCGACGAGTTAAAAGATATCACCACAAGAAAACACATAAAATAGTCAATGTAGTAGTTTTTAAAGTCCCACAATACCGAAGTAGTAACTCCATGGAAAGAAATGAGGTTGTGAACGAAAAAGTTTAAGACCCGAGACGACTTATTGCAATTGTAAGAATTTCTTTGTGTATGGATGGATATTGTTGTACCAACTTGGTTACTTAGAGTTGGTTTCCTAGCAGTTTGAGAAAAGAAGTTGTATCTTTGAAGTTTTAAGGACTTAGTTTGTGTAATAATGTTAGAAGTTGTTATGGTGAGAATTTTAAGATCTTTTTAGTACTTATTAGCTTCTGGCCACGACTACGTACGCGTAATCCCAGTTTATCGCGTTCCCGTAGGATTTTCAGGAAATATTTGAAAAAAATGTACCCTACATAAGGACATAGGAAAGTGGGGAGGTAACTGAAGTAGATCACTATGTATAATATATTATAGTGCACAAGTGTGTGCGCAAACACAGGCTGCACTCTCTGAGGTGAAAAAAAAACCGCCGAATTCGGGCGGTCATTCAGAAAATGTAAGTAGTACTTTGCTCGACGCGGCAATCGAACCCGCGACACGTTGTACAGCAACCGGTCATCCAGTCACTGCACTACAAAGTTTAGTTTATCTTCACTTATTGCAATATTCTAATAAAATACCGAGAAGTTATCCATAAAATGTCTCAATCAACACATTTCGATCTCTTAAATCGATTCCTAAGGGAGAATCGATTATCGAATCGCCTATAATCACGTTATCCTTATCGTGAGACTTTGATTGTTTCCGTGACTCGAAATGATGGGAAATTAAGTTGTTCGAATGCTCCCCGATTGGTCTTCTTGGTGTTTGTTGTATTTTATTATGTTTGCAATGCAACTCAAAGTAGTCTTCTTGGTGTTTGTTGTATTTTATTATGTTTGCAATGCAACTCAAAGTATACTCAGCTCGTCTGAGCTCGTATCTATAATTTGGTAGATAACTTAACGGTACACTACCTAATAATAGTTATTGTTCCTTTTTGTATTTCTTTTTTATTATTTTGGTGTTAACATAAACATATTTTCTATTCTCTCTCCTTTCTATGTAGGTACTGTTGAATAAATTACACGATTTCAAAGCGTGTAAAACGAAGGGGTATTTTTTACTGGCATTAACCTGTAAATGTGCAGTCGTATCACGTGACAATAAGCAATTGGTGTCGCCTATTGGGGATTAAGAATTTGAGGATTATTGGAGGTTCAGGGATTGGTGAGATAACCATCAGACCACCACGGATGGGGGGTCCAATAGGGCTGATGCCGATACGGAGCCGCGGAGAACGTAAAAGGTTACCGGGTCTCCGGCTCGAAGTGCAGAAGTAGGAACGGGGTGGTTTTTAGTCAGTAAGAGTCTGACACTCCTTCCCCCCTCACCCAGGCAGGTGAAGTGTTTCGATGAATTTCCCCCCTTAAAAAAATGGGATTGGGGAGATTGGAGAAAGGGGAGGGGAAGGTAATTGGGCCTCCGGTAACCTCACAAACACAACGCAGCATAACGCAAGCATTGTTTTACGTCAGTTTTCTGTAAAGCCGTGGTATCACTCCGGTTGAGGCAGCCCATTTGAAGTATGTCTCTCACACACTTAAATAACATCAGAATCTTCACATTACAAGCCATTTCTTATTTTCTAAAATATAGTAGCTAAAGTTCTAAAAGACCAACAATGTAATGCAGCTGCAGTGGCGACCGTAAAAAGGAGTTTGCACGTCCTTCATTCTCGGTTGGATTAAAAGACAAAAGGGAACGTCATTAGCGGACACAAACGGTCCCAGCTGTAAATTAGTTGGCATTATTAAATTTTTCCACCATTTTTGCAATTCCCGCCGATAGACACTTATCATCCCTATTCTAACGAAACAGGGATGGTGAGGTGATATGAAAATTAAACATTTATTTAGTCCATCAGAGAATAATAAAATAATAAACACGTATTTTTTTTATTTTGTAATAAATAAATAACATCACGCCTTTTACCCCCGAAGATATAGGCAGAAGTGCACATTACGGCACTTTAAGCCACTGTACATGTAACACCTACTTTTTATGAGTCCCATGTTTTTATTTTGTCGTATAAGAAAACAATACTTAGATAAAAATGAATCAAAGTTCAGGAGTGGTATAATGAACCCGTGTGATCCAATAATGATCCAATGACGAGAACAGTTATTTTACAATGAAAATAAATGAAAAAATACTTTTTAATAATAAATACAAATTCCTTTTTGAACTATTTTGACATCACTAGAGAAGTTATTGCAAACAAAAAAACACAAATTCATGTACGACTTATTCTGACTGCTGCACACAGGAAAATAAACCACAGGACATTTCTCACATGGTCGTTTTTTGTCTAAAGGTGGGAAAAGTGAATCGTAGGATTTAGTCGTTCCATAGGCCAGATAGATGAACGTCAGAAACGTAAGTGTATCTGTGGAAAATATGTAATTTAAAACCTAAAAACGAAGAGTCTATCTGCACAGTAAAATTAAATCTGTCTTATTTCTATTCTAATAATAAATAGGTTATAACGAAAACGATATAAACTTCATGGTAGAAGAAAAAAATATAGTAACAAGAGTCAAAAGACAGAGGATACTTTTTAGTGGATTATTTAGGTTGCTTATGGGACGACGTGTTCCATCGTAGGCCGCATCATCGCTTACCGCCAGGCGAGATAGTGGTCAAATATTGGCCCATCAAATATAATTATTAAAAAAAACATTACAGTGACTTATGACATTGTAATTTAAAAACTATAGGATTTTTTATATTTTTCTGATAACTGCTGGTAACTTGCGGATTGCCTGGTACCATTTGAACGTCGACTTGAGGGGCATTCTGTATAATATTTATTTATATTATTTATTAACACTTCTGTATAATAATCATACGATGGCGGGCTTAATGCCGGGTGGCATTCTCTAACAGTCAACCATGGGTTGATGCAGAGATGTGCAACAGTAGGTGTAATAGGTATAATGGTTTATGTGACACAGAAAAGTCTATATAAATAAATTTATGATTATGCATATCTGTAAATACATACATATATCCGTACATATAGGTATAATATAAATTACATAAGATGCTAATATTGTGCTATCATTAACTTAGAAAAACACAGTACTTACTTATTATGACAAATCGGATGCTAGTGAAAGAATTCATAATTGTTCAATTATGGAACTGCGTTCCCGAGATTTCGCGTCACTCACTTAAGTAGTTCGAAGGAAAAGTCATGAAAAGGCGTAACTAGCTAATT